TTGAAATTAAAAAACCTACAACACCCTGGTTGCATAAGTGTGCACACCCTTTCATAACTCTGTGTTCAGAGTTAACTGGTCACATTCAAAATCATGTCCAAAGGTAAGTAGTATACACCTGCCAACAATGAAAGTGATTCTGATTAACCCCAAATAAAAATCAAGTGTTCCTATAGGATTTCCTTGAAACTTTTGTGGTTCTACTGGGATAGCCATGGTCTGCAAGAAGCTGACAAAACATCTACGGGATCTTATTGTTGAAAGGTACTGATCAGGAGAGGGGTATAAAAGAATATTAAAGGCATTGGATGTACCATGGAGCACTGTAAAGACTATCATCAATAAGTGGAGAAAAAGTGTCACCACAGGGACATTGCCAAGATCAGGACGACCCTCCAAAGTTGATGACAGGACAAGCAGAAAACTTATCAGGGAGGCTACCAAGAGGCCTACAGCAACATTAAAGGAGCTGCAGGAATTTCTGGCAGATATTGGTCACTCCTTGCATGTGACAACAATCTCCCGTATTCTGCACATATCTGGGCTAGGAGGTAGGTTGGCAAGACGGAAGCCATTTCTCACAAAAAAGAACATCCAAGTCTGTCTTATCACCCAAACCATGTGGGAAAATGTCTCATGGTCTGATGAGACAAAGGGTGAACTTTTTGGCCTTAATTCTAAAAGATATGATTGGTGCAAAGACAACACAGCTCATCATCCAAAGAACACCATACCTACTGTGAAGCATGGTGGTGGCAGCATCATACTTTGGGGCTGCTTCTCTTCAGCTGGGACAGGGGCTCTAGTCAAGATAGAAGGGATAATGACTAGCTGCAAATATAAAGATATTTTGACACAAAACCTGCTGGCATCTGTCAGAAAGCTGAAGATAAAGAGGAATTTCACATTCCAACATAATAATGACCAAAGCACACATCCAAGACAACCAAGGAATGGCTTCAGAAAAGGAAGATTAAAGTCTTGAAATGGCCCTGTCAGAGCCCAGACCTCAATACCATAGAAAACCTGTGGAATGTCCTAAAGAGAGCTGTGCACAGGAGATTCCCTGGCAATCTGAAGGAGCTTTAACTTTTTTGCAAGGAAAAGTGGGGTAAAATTGCAAAGTCCAGGTGTGCAAAGTTGAGAAAGACTTACTGCTGTAATAAATGCAAAAGGTGCTTCCACAAAGTATTAGTTGGGGGTGTGTGCAACCAGGGTGTTGTAGGCTTTTAATTTCAATAATTTTTCCTAATAATTATCTATTTGTTTTTTGTCTTGAATTTTGTTGGTCGGAAGGTCACATCAAAGATGGGAAAATGTACGATTTATCTTGATTTCTGGCTTTACATCACAAAAACCTGCAAATTCAATAAGGGTGTGTAGACTCTGTAGATTTGTACTTGATTGCACATAGTTTGGTTGAGGGTCTAGTCACGATGAGGGTGGAGTCTCACCTCTGTGGTTAAGATCCCTTTTATCATAAGTTCATATACCCACTGTGAGCCCTAAAGTAAAGGGTATAGAGCTTGTGTTAAGCATGCTAGTTTCATTGTGGTTTTCCTCATTACTATGGAGCCATTTCCTATACATAAGGTCAAAAATGGGGCAAGCAACTCAACAGCAGTATGTTTTTACAAAATCTGTGGTGACATTGGGACACACCAATGTCTACACCAGCACACTGCTGAGTGCCACCTCATGCTGTCCTTCACTTGAAAGGTACAATAAGGTTGTGTTAATTTCAAAGTTGTTGTCTTTGAATCTGCAGAAGTGCACAGTGCCTATTCTCTGTAAGCTACTTTGGATAAAAGCATCTACTAAGCAGTACCCTGCTAAGGTTATACACAGTCCTGATTACTTCATTAGGTCAGAGGTCTATAGGTTGGCTAAATAAATTGAAGTTTCTATTTTCACTTTACTTTTACCTGTGTGTGTTAATAACAAACTATCCAGCTCTAAAAAAAAAATGTTCAGTTGAAAAATGGACTGTTTATGCCCTCCATAAAGTCGAGTGAAGAAACACTGTCAATATTCATATTCTAGTGTTATGTAATTATGCAGTGCCTGTGATCCTCTGTTAGTGGTTGTTTTGCATCTGTGACCTTGGCTCTGACAATATGGGACCAGAGACTGCTATGTGTTGGCAGTATTGCAGGAGCCAGAGGCACTAAATGTTATTCTATTGCCCTCCTTATTAGAGGAAACACCTGTTTGGACCCCAGTGCCTTGGAGAGCAGTCTTGTGGAATGAAACAGTCACACTGTTTGTTTTTCAGGAAACACTGCAAAGCTCATTATGACACGAGGCAGTGCAGGTCTTCCCCTGATCTCCTGACAGATGTCTCCAAACAGGTAGTGTTGTGTTTTTATTTGTTTTGTTATTTAAGCAAACAGTTGTAAGATAATTAGATTCTAAAGTTAATTAATTAGTAGGAGGTCAGAGGACACTAAAAGAGATCATAGGATATCAGTTCAGTGAATATTAATAAAATGGGCCCGACAGCTGTTGTCTGTGTTCTTTTCTAGTTTGTATTGTGTTTAACAAGTTTACCAAAAGAAATTCCTAAACATAGAGACTTGCTGAATCATAAATTAGCTTCATTTAGAGTGTACAATGATGCACTAAGCCAACTAAATATTGTTCTTGACATGTTTTTGCACAGTGGACTGATATTTAAAAAGTAAAACTGATCCATTCCCAACCCCATGTAGATACAAAAAAACTTTTGAATTTATGAGTTTCATTTGTTTGTTCTAACAAGAGGTCCCACTCATAGTTCTCCTGATAGTGGACCCACATTTTTTTTCTCATACACATCCTAGTTCTCGTCAAAGGCTTTAAGTTATTTTTCTTTTTCTGTAGAGCATCCTGAGGTGTTTAGTGATGCTAAACGGCAGAGTGAATGAAACTGCTCATAACCCTTCGTACAGCATTTACTTTTTACCCTTCCTTCCACTCGAGCAGGCGTATGAGCAGACACGCTCCTTCGAGAGGCCGAGTTACAGCAAGAGCACTGCCGAGAAAGCTCTTCAGCCAGTTCTGAGCGGGAAGAGAAGCAAATCGGCTGTGGAGGTGGTGTTTGCCACTGAACTGGAGCGCTCCAAGCCGGAAGCCGATCCTGCCTCCTTGAACCCGTCTCGGAGTGGCTCCTTCACCTGTTTTGAAGTGGAAGGCCAGGCAGACGTACAAACGCAGTGCCAGCAGGGGCGCATGGGCGTTGCCCGCAGCAACAGTGTCAGCGAGGTTCACCGCAGCCGAATGATCACCAGCGCCCAATTACTGCGGCGCACCGACTCTCCCCGTTACCCGCTGGCGGTAGCGGGTGCCGAGAGCTTCGTTTCCAGTGCCTCCTTTTACCTGGACCAGCCACCCCGCCTGCCCAGGCATGCCTCCCTGGTGGAAGACGTCATCCGCTCCTCCAGCTTCTCCAGCCCCGCCAGTATGTCTCCTTCCGGGAGGCGCCACAAATACAGGCACAATGGCCTCTACCAGGCAGGGGGCACGAGCTGCGGCAGCCGCATTGACATCGGAAGAGAAGATATGGGTCACTTCAGCGACGACTCCAGCTACCAAGCGGCCCTGCCCAAGAGGTCCTGGAGCCAGTCCGATATGAAATTCCTCCATCCAACTCGTGCCTCCGAATTCAGACCTCTAGGCCACTACCCTCATTTATCCCGGAGGCCTATTATGATGCGCCACTTGCTGCCACAGCATGGGGCCACAGACCGCCCCACCTCTCTCTGCGTGATGGATAGGTACGCTGCTGGTGGGACAGACTTCAGCGACTCCGACTCTGACATCATCTATCCCTACTACTACCCAATCCTGGGCAAACTAGTCAAAGCTGCCCCACTGGCCCGGATGAGGATATCCTCAGGCAGTCTCCAGCTGGATGAAGAAGAGGAAGACTTCTTCAACATAAGCGACTGCGAGGGCGCAAAGTCTTCTGTGGGGGCACAGGGACTCCACTCTCGAGTGGTTTGATCTTGCCTTTTAGGGACACCGGCTTTTCAGCTAAGAAGGTCTTACTGAACAAACCTAAGTTATGGGAGGTGAAGACACCCCATTATAGGAAGACCTAGTAGCAGTTATTTCACACAGGGGTTCCCAATCCTAGTGCTGGAGGCCCACACACCAGGTTTTTGTTCCAGCCCAGCTCTGTTACACGGTTGAACCCTTAATTGACTTAATGATAGATTAATTGGAACTGTTTTCAGCGCTTAAACCTGTTGGAGGTCCCCTTTAATTATTGCAGTTCATAAGTATTGAGTGAAATAAGTGAAATTCAAAACATTTGAATAGAACAAAATGTTCCAATCAAGAAACTTATCAGTTCAGGTAAGGCTCCTTAAAGTACGTGTCTGCCTAAATGAAGAAAGGTGCATCTTAATTACCACACATTCCTGGTTTTTGTGGAGTTGTGGACCACATCATGAAAAGTGGGATCTGAATGAAGAAGGTGAGCAATAATTGCTATTGTTTTTCTCCTAACTGATTTTTTTGAGGATGTCCAGTTAAGTCAAGAGTTGCAAGAGTTAATTGTTGTTCAAAAAGTCAACAGTCTAAAACATTTTTTTAAATTGCCGTTCCTTTGTTTTTAAAAACATGTTGTATATTTTGACAAATTTTAACTACAATATTTATGCACGTATTTGCTATATACAGCTAATTCTTAAATAAGAAATTGTATGTCACTGAAAATGCCTCAATTTAAAATGAGCATTACTTGGAATAGATTGAAAGAAATAGATTTTACATTGGTGTGATGTAAGAATTTACAGAATGATCTTAATAGTAAAGTAGCTTGAAAATGCAGAACAAATAAGCAAGAAACATTCAAACAGGATCATACAAAGTAGGAAAAGCTATGGGAGACTTTGCAGATCAGCTACTCTACATGACAAGGCCAACTTAAAAAAAACGTATCTGTGTAATAAGCTCCAAAGACCTTTGCAGTTAAAAGTGTAACCAGAGTGAATGTCGAAATTGAATTTTGAAGTAGTTTGGGTAGCCAGTTATCTTCACAAAAGATTGCAAGAAATGACACAAAACTTGAAGGCAAACATACTCAGTAAAAGAACGTCAAAACCATACAGGTCATTTATTTTGAAAGGGCACAAAAGACAATGATCCCACATATACTGCAGATATTTGTTGTACGAAGACCAAATAACAATAGACTTCCAAAGCTTTTCCACACGTACAGTTCAGTAACTTTTTTGACTTGATTCAAACGTTTAGTATCACGGTTATGAAATGCTATGCTTCCCTAAGTGCTGCTACATAAGTTATTTTTTACCCGTTATTTTTTCTTTCCTCTCTCACAAACCTGTCATGTTTTTCAAGGCTGAAGTCTTTCCTTCAGTATTCGGTACAGTCCCCTTCTCCATTCTCCCTGGTATGGGATATGTGAGATATGACGTATAGTATGTCATAACAAATGAGGCCAAAGTACTTCCTATATTTTTCTTTTTTTATTTGCTTGAAAAAGCCAGAGCAGACAGCAGTGGGAAAAGCTATCTCTGTACCCAGCTAATGCATTATGAGAAAACATCCTGAAGAGGATGCAATGAGAGGCATTTCAGCCCTTTAATGCTAAAAGCAGGCTGTTAAATGCATAAAGAAAAAGAAAAATTACAGATGATAAAAGATATGGCTACGTCTGAAGAGCCCATAATTCTTCAGTTTACGATGCGTTTTTTACAACACCATTACCTCAGTTATATGTCTTCATCCCCCTCAAAACGACTACATTCTCACCACTTTTCAGCTGTTTCATGTACATAGTAGTTGTTTACTGTCACTATTATTGGGTTTCAGTGTGTCTGTTAGTATCAATTTGCACGTGGTACTCATTGCTCATTCTGTTAACATATTGTCCGGTAAGTGTTCATCAGTTTTGTGTGGCATAATTTCTAGAACTTGTGTTTAGGAATATCACTGTAATGGATTGACACTACTTGCTTAGTGGCCTTACATTGAAAAAGTCAATACTACTTACAGTAACTGTATTCAGTGTCTTAAAAAAAAAGGCTTCTTTGCATTTCTAGATTGTCCATCAATTTATTCCATGTCTATATTATTTATTTCTCAGCACACCACCTTTCACTGTTGTAAAACAGCAGCTCCAAAGTACAGAGTTGCATTACATCTAAGGGATTGACTTTTTGATATCAGATTGTGATAGCTAGTGAAGCAGGCTCCATTGTCAACTGAGGACTGTTTCCTGAGATTATTATTAAATGGTGACAAGCACCTCTTTTAGAACCCAGTCCAGCCTACCCGCCATCACAAAATCAGTTTCAAGTTAGGGGAGCAAAAACATTCTTATGATTCCCAGATTAAATTGTCTGATGTTATGCCATGGACTACATGTAGATGATGCAGTTAATAAAATTCCTAAAATAAAACAGAAGTCCCCTTTAACCTTCCAGTATGTTATTATAGCACCCCTTCTCAATATTTAAAAGATGTGATGTTGTTTCAATGAGCTTGATATCACGAAGTATGAAAATCACAGCCCTCTGCCGCTTTTCTCCAGGTGAGGGTGATGGCGTTGGGACAAACACTGTCAAACTTCCAAACAGCATTCAGAAGCTGTCAGGATGAAACATTGTACAGTACCATAAACTGCTAGAAATAAGAGAGGTTGACAGATGCCTTCCAGGAAAGTTGCTGTTGTTGTTGTGCCCAGATGCGTAAAGGGCAACTCCATGGGGGCTGAGTTCATCAGTCATCGCCACCAAGTCATCATCAGAAAAGCAGAGGCCCAGGGGGCGTTAGCAGCTGCCCTCAAGGGATTCATGTCCCTGATGTCTTGTGACATGTGCCAGAGAAATCAATGCAACCCACTGTGCTCATGAGCTCTGAATCTTGGATCAAGTCACAAGGCAGTAATGTACTGTAGCACAGTGGGCAGGTTCACACTCACATGATGCTCCAAGTCTAGTATTTATACCAAGAGATCCTGCTACGATACGAGCACAGTGATGCACTCATTCTCTTGACACTGGCAGTGCCGCATAAATCTTACGTCAGTGTTTTAGACTTTTCTGGTGTTGCTTTAAAATAAGGATTCCTTTTTAATATACTATGATTAAAAAAAACAGTACTCATTTCAAATATGTTGAACTATTAACAGTATTGTGGTTATGGCAATATAAAAAATACCCCAAGCTTGCTTATGTGTAACGCAAAAGGCCGTTTATGAGTATTTTTACTTTTTTTTTTCCTTTTCATGGTGGAAAAATAAAGAGTTTTTTTCACATTGCTGCTAACTGAATTACCATATTTCAGTGGGTTTTAATTTGGAATTCCATGAATAAAAGGAGATTTTTGTCAAGGCATCTGGCGTATCATTCTGAAGTTACTCTACAATAATATAGAACAATTAAAACAGGGATCTGTGGTCAGCGTGATAAGTTAAGAGACTTTGCACCTCCAAGCAAAGGGATGTCTAGTGGGCACCGTAGGCCTCAGTCTGAAAACTTGACAATGGCTCTGGCTGGCTTTAGAGGAAAGCGCATAGTCCCTAATTAAATCCCCCCACGTTAATTAAAAATGGGGACTTCCAAAATTAGTGGAATTGACCAATCAATAATGAACCAAAAGAAATGAATCAGGCCCATCAGTTATTGGTGTCCCACTGTTTGACCTCAGTGAAGCAAAATACGCCCAAGTACGAATGCATTGCTGAAGCATTACTGAGATCAGCGTTCAGACTGCAAGACTATAAAATGCCAATGTCCAGCGAATCAGAGAAAGATTTCCTCCAAGATGCTTCAAGCTGAAGATCCATTCAGATCCTGAATTACAGTCAGGGATCAGATGGTTAAAGATTGAAGGACTGACCCCTTCTACCTGTACTGCAGGATCACAGCTACAGTATATACTGTATTCCATAGGCGTATAAAAAATTGAAATCATTTTCATTCCCCAGATATCCAATATTTAAAAGGAACTGACTACAGTACGAGAGTATGGCCATTGATTTAACTTAAATGTCTTTTGTGCGTCTGAGGGAATACACACTTACTGACTGTAAGACTTCTCTGAAATCCAATTCAGGCTTCCCGATTTTCCCAAAATCAAACGAGGCTGAAGTTTGAGGGAACATTTAGAAATGAAATGATCGTTTAAAATAAATACAGCAGGTTGTACAGAGGTCCAACGGGAAAAGAAATTCTTTGGAGGCCTGTCCAGGAATCTTGCTGCTGCTTTGAGGAAGAGGGAATTCAGTTGTAAGGAAATACCTAAATTAAGGCTCTAGTGCTTCAGCTTGCATTCAGTTTCCTTTTCTCTGCAAGACCATGCTTCACCATGACCATGCTTGAATCAACCTGCACAGTCTGAAAAGATTATCTCCATACAGCGAAGAAAAATTGCCCTTCAAACAGTCATGATTTAAATATTTATTCTTAAAACCCCAAACCAAAATTAGCTTTAAAACAGATTTACAGGACTAGCGAGTCTACAAGATAAGTTTTACAGTTCTCTTTTTTCTGCAGTTCAACCAAATACAGTTCCTTTATAAAGCTCAGATCAATGCTATTTACAAAAATTCCATTTCCTTTTGTGTCTGCTTGTTGTTTGTACATCATTATAAAAATATTTTATTATATCCAAATATTATTGCTTTCAAAAAAATTCAAACAGTCTGGCAATATTTACGTATCACTTAGAAGTACTTAAAAAAGCAAGTAAAGAAATAAATGACTATTACAATAAAATAGAGGAATTAAAAGTTCAATACATTTTCTTTAGGCACCAGTGGATGTCAGGTTGGCATTTCTCAAATGTTCGCCACCTAGGATAATATCAACTGTGAAACTGGGATGGCACCTTCCAGTAGTAATATTTTCAGAAGTATCATGCTTAAAGACTTGGCAGATTCTTTCTTTCATACATTATAAAATACATCACACATGTTGTGTGATAACAAGCCACACAGAAGAAAAGAAAAGCCTTCCTATTTTGCTCCTGCTTTTGTATCTGAAGTTTGTCCAGCAAAAAACATTTCCATGACTATTACTGGTAAATGCAGGTTTTTAAACAAGATAGGGGCTGTACTGGCCATACGTACCCTAAAAATAAAGTCTACATATATTTCTAAAGCAAACACCCCCTAATCATACTTGTAATACGTTGCATCAAAGTCTTGCCCCTTTAAAACTGAATCATCGGCAGCTTCAGAGACAAGCACCTTCTTATTATGAAAATAAATGTTTTTTGATTGGAATCTGAGAAAGCTGACTAAACAGGGATTTAAAATGAATCCTAACTGATCTTTTTTAAGGCTTAAGGCGATGAGAGAAATTGTCTTTTGTGTGGCATCTGTTACAGAAACCAAGGTGCATGTTCTATTAAAATCAAGTCTAAGAAACCTCAACATTCGCCACTCTCAGACCTTTGTTAATGGATACCTTTGCTTACTATGGAAGTTTATGAGGTATTTTGAAAGATAAACTAGATGTACATCGTTATATATAATCTTTTTGTACAGCAGGTTACAAGATTACAGCACATGCTGGACCTCCTTAATTAGCACTCATCTGTGGTGGAGGCACAGTTTTCTAGGTAATGTTAACAACACTACCTGCTTACAAGGATAATTTTGTCACCATTTTCTGCACTTAAATAATGTATCCTATGGTAGTGAATAAGACTTTTTAGAAACAAAAGGACAATATCTAGCTAAAACAACAAATACTGGTAAGATGCCTTACGCTCAGCAGCAGAATAGTATTTCAACATTTTTAAATGATGTTTATCTTACATTAAAACCCAAGACTTAAGATACAGTGCGCAACACCCCAAGCATCTTCTGATTGAAAAGCACTCACCCGCCTCGCTGTGCACCTGAGGCTTTTAAAATGAATTAAAAAAAAACAACTAAAATGCTGAAATAAAAAAAGTGTGCTTGAATTCTTATCCCTACAATATTTACAAATATACATGGATTAGTCCTTTTCTGCCCACGATATAGCTGATGATGAGATAATGAAAGTCAGCCTTAGAAACAATAGTATCTCCAGAGTGTAAAAGGGCACAGGAAGGGAGTCCTGTCAGGTGGTGGTCTGTGTCCAGCTAATTCATTTTGCGCATTTCAGAACAATTCCCACAATATGATTAACTTGCAGAAAATCTGGAAAAAAAGAAAAAAAAAGGTTTTAACCAAGAGGACCAAATAGAATGTGCCTGACTGTAAAACAGGGACACAGTCTTGTTTCTACATGGTCACTTGTCCACTGAGCAGAAATAAAATGACTGACCTGTAGCTCAATGTAACGATTAAACAGAATATCAAATAAACAACAAATTCAGGTCCCAGGCCTTATTCCTAGAAGTTTATTAGTTTTAACTGCATGGGCTATTTGCAGTTAAAACGAATGTCAATAGCATTAAATAAAATCAATAAAGAAAATTAAACAAAAGAAAATTGGAATAGATATCCCTTGTTACCTCCAATAGAAAAACCTCAAAAAGAAAACCTAACCTGATAACAAGAAAACATTTGACTTTTGTTAAATCATAAATTTCCTTAACACGACAAATACAAAATAATAGCTAAGAACTACATTACCTGTCAGTTAGTTCATTGTTCTGTAGTGCATTTATGAAGATATTTCACCAACTCTTGGAGTAACTGTTACATTACAACTTTAATATATTTTTAACTTATTTGCTTACTATAAAACATTATATTACAAATATGTGAGAGAAATTTAACAGATTACAAGCGAATTCTAGAATTTTGTAATCTGGATATCAGAATCGAAACATTCCATAATACCTAGCCTACATTCATGCTGTGAGTCTGTGTGTCTTTCTGACATGTTTTTCCAGTTGCATTTCAACATTTATCAAAGCTTGTAGTTTTCAGCTCCAAGTGCTTTTGTAATGACTCCATATAGCAATTGGAGATCTTTCAAGCTGTATGCAGCATTCCTGGATACAGGTTCATCTTTGTTACCCAACTCTGTAGTTCAAGTGGCATAACTTTTAAATGACTACTTTCATTATTGATGTTACTAAACTACTCAACTGTCTGGATGAACGGAAAGCTGTGAAATTTTTCACAGCAAATATTGGAACTGCTAAGTATATAAGTACATTATATCTTCCTGGATTTAAAAACTGCATAAACACACAATAGTGTAGCGACACTACACAATTTAAGATTTAAAAAAAAACTGAGACACCTACAACTCTTGTTAAAGCTTCATTTGGATGAAACATTCAAGAGACTAGCCTTAAACAGAGCTTATTAAGATTTCACTCAAAACTAGTCTTTCACTTACTTCTGAAACCTGTCTATGATTGCCTTCACCATTTTGTCTGTGATTCCTGGACATGCCTCTTCTGCCATTTTAATGCTCTTCTCCAGCTCATCAATCGCATTTTTCTTAGCAGCACTATCCCGATGTTGAAGCTTGAGCTATAGAAGCACGAAATAAAAATGAAGGTTTTTGTTTTTAAAAGATTTTGTTTTGGAGAATACATTCAAAACGTCACAAGCTTTTCAAAACATTTTGAGCAATACCTCACCTCCATAAATAGGGGAGTAATAACTGAAGACAAACTTGCTGATTTCTTCAGGTCTTGATCCTGAAGTAGGCAAAAAAAAAAGGGACATTAGCTTTCAGCCACAGTAGGATTGTCAAGTCTTTCAACCTTCAATCTTAAAAGCACTCTGACTGCTAACAGTTCAGTTTATCTCTTCAGGGTGAGGCCTTCATCTATCTGCTCAGTGTAAAGAAGGACATCCTGAAGTGTTTGTCCTATGGCTATGTACATGAGAGTAGAAGAAAAGCTTTCTAACACTGAGATCCACATAAACATTGAGGAGGATGGGATGACTGAAATGAAGGTTATAAAACCAGGTCATGCAAAGCACATGGTCTTAATTCTGACATGCCACTAGCATGAAAGTGCATTCTGTGATTTTAGTGTTACAGATTTACACAAGCTTTATGGTTACCTTTGGTTTAAAATAATGTACACCACAGACCCACAAATGAATACTAGCCATTTATAAAATGTATTAAGCTGTAAAACATTAAACAGACAATTTTTGACTTCAAGGCACTTGTATCCCATAAGGTGTTTCAGGTCTTTAAAGATGAGGTCATTTACAGTACTTTTATCCTTGGGATGTTTCTTTAGGTCATTAAATTGGACAGCAAGTTAGGTTTAGATCAGCAGAGCTTCCTAGACAAAGATTACATTACGAACACACAATTGTATATTTGTTTTCAATTTTAAAACAACTTACTAAAATTTACCCTATTTTGCATTGTATGTTATTTGTGCATGAGCACTCATACAGCTTCTTAAATTTTATAGATCAGGTTTAGATTGTCAGCATCACTCCAAAATGAAGTGCATCTTCAAGTATAAATACCCCAACCCAACAGCCAAGGATATCACTCCGGAAATATAGGAGCAAACCCACTTCACCCAGCCCTGAAGTATAGCTCCCACATGGCTGTGTGGCATCCATATTGCATCAATAACCCCACTGGATACATAGCACATAATGTGGAGTAGTTGGGAAATTGCTCACTAACTGAATCAAACTACAATAAAATTTAAATCGTACTGTAACTCGTAAAATCCCCATCACAAACTAAACAAAATAGATGAAATTTCCAGTTATGCGTGACGTCATATTGCGCTATTCAGAGCGAGGCAACAAGACCTCCAGCCCTATTATATTGTAAGCAAGACGGCTTGTGAATACATCCCTTTTAATCCGATAGAAATATTGCTCTTGATGTCAAGACTGTTTTGCCAACAAATACTACTTTCTTGTTGCATGCACATAATGTTGGAATATTTCTGCAGTGAAATGTCTGTTGCACAACCAGTTTTAATCTGCTCGTACATCGCATTACATTAGTCATGACTAGTGAGCAGGAAGGGCCACATTACGTCGCACTTCATGGGATTTTTTTTCTATAATGTTAATTTACTTTGTTAGCAAAATTTAATAACCGGTCTGAGATATGGGAACTCAAGTTCCCCTTTAATACCCTTATTCTTATGAGCTGTGTCAGAGGATCTTTAATGACCAAGTATTCAGAACCTTGTTATCACATATAAAGGATGGAAGAGAAGGTCTTTCACTGCACAAAATATTTACAAAATCAGGATGGCACTGGAAAACTTTTCCCTGCAACTGTTATAGTTCAAGACATTATCTGAACGGCAATTTCTTATATAATGACAGAGATCTTTGAGTCTGTATGGAAATACTGATAGCACCTTGCTTAATGTGCAGAGACAGGGTCATTGTAAAAGATTTTGGTGTGAAGGGACTCACCGTTCCATTTTGCAAATTCTTCTTGGAATCCGGCTTCTTTCGGACAGTTGTGAAAGACCACTCTGGCTGTGAGCGGTCATTCTCTTTGTTGCTTGATTCCCTGTTGAATTCAATAAATGTGTTTGTTCTACAGATGCCTTTAACTTCCCTTTGGTTAACCAAGATATGCGCTGAAGTAAATCTCCGAGACAACATTTAGATGGAAAGAAAATCAAAAACTGATTGTAAAATTGATTCTTCACTTGAGATTTCTAAACACATTTCTTTTTCATGACTCATGACTTCTGGTTATAGTTGTAAGTGTACCATGCAATGAAATTGAGAGTGCCCATAATACTAAACATCTCCGTGACTAAATGACTCTATGGTTACTCCATAACTAAAGTAAAGCATGGTTGTCAAGAGCATTTACTCATTTTGCTTGAGCTACACTGAAAAGTACAAATATAAGAAACGATACAATCCAGTCCACAGGTTGCTTTGAATATTTATCCAGACTCCTGTGATTCACACACTTTTCATTTAAATGAGCTGAATACAGGTCAGAAAGGAGTGTCATTTTTTGTGTTGAAAGTCTGGGGCAAATTAATTGCCATGATCGAGAAACCTGACTGGTTTGAAAGGTGAGTAAAGATTTCCAATGCAAGAAAGCTGATTACTGGAAAATATACCGGTTCTTGAGAACAAAACAAAAAAAAATAGATATAGCAGAATATCTGGTTGCTCTTAAGAAGGTTTCAGCTTCACCTGACAAGTAATCAACAATTGATTTCTGTGCCAAAGGGGTTATAAATTCAGTGAGTTAATGAATGAGTGAATTGAATTAATGAAAGCTATAAATTCACTTTTGCTTGCTGGTTTTTAAACTCTGCAGCTTGTGAAGCTGCATTAAAAGCTCTGTGTTGCTTGTGAAGATGCATTCAAGGTCAAATGGTACGAAATGAAGAGAAAACAGAGCCTGTGTTCTCTGATGATATTTGCCATTATACACAAGCCCAAAAACAGAAGCAGGAAGGGTACTGAAATAGACCCAAGGTTAACACTGATGATTTCATCCAACTTTATGTGTGGTCACAAACACAGTACATCCATTACATTAAAACGCAGAAAGAGAAATGTGTGGTAAAGAAAAATATAAATAATGCACTAAAGTTGGTTACTTTTTTTTATACACTTCACAAACCACATACATTTTGAGGTGGGGGGGGATAGTGGCCAATTTTCAGAATTTCTTATTTGAGAACAACATTATTACACATGCAGGAAACGGGGCTGGACAACTTACAGAAATAATTCAAACCTTTCACGACAGGCCACATCTTCATGCGATATCTGTTTAAAAACTCCTTCTCTACAAAGGTGTTTTGTGAGCATCTCTAAGAAAAATTAAAGCGTGCCAGTGATTTTTTTCCAAACTTCCGAGTACTAACTGACAAGCATTAAATAGATGAACAGTATCAAAAAAGTTTACATAGTGTGCGACATTTGTGTGATAGTGCTGAAATCTAATTCTTTAATGGGCCAAGGCAAAAAATACATTACTGCAAAGTAGCAAGAAAATAGGATGGGAGTCTGGAATCCAATTAAAATAAATACTTAAGACAAAAGGAAATCTCTCATATGAAGACTTTATAGAAGCTAGACTTGCAAACAGCTTACAATGGTTCCTACTTACGAGTCCGAGTCGTCAGAACTGGAATCGTCATCACTGTGACCCTCAGCCTTCCACCTCTTGTACCTGTCGATCAGCTCCGTCAGGTAGGAAGTCTTCTTCGCGTTTTTAACAATGAACTTGTGCTTCAGGAGCTCCCTTGCGGTGGGTCGCTGGGGAGGGGGGGAAAAAGAAGGCTCTTCAGTTCTGTTGTCACCTTTGCGCTGCTGTGAAATGACAAACTGTACTTGCTGGGGAAGTTTGTGGCATTATCAAAAAAAAAAGTGCTCCTTTTGACAAACAGTGCCGCACAGAATTAAGCTGAAATAAAAAAAAAAAACATACCACATTGCACTAACAGTCACTTACACAGCATAAGAAAAGCAGACTAGTTGGAGTAATGACTCCTCACCCTGTGAATGCCCAGTGACCACTACAGCACTTTAACAAGCTAATTGCCCGATTCTGCAGTCTCAACTCAATGGCTGATGCTTCCGTTTCCAAACACGAAAGCACGTTAAGAGAATAGCTTTTGGGGACCTTAAGAATAATTACTAGACATCAACCTTAATTTCACAAAAGAGGAATCTCTGTTTACGTCAGCCTTCCAACCAGTTTCAGTCTTTCTTGGCAAGAGGCATGGTGCGATTTTTAACTCCGAAATACCCCATGAACGACTTCCTCAGATTTTGTACCAATATTTTAACATATTATTTACTTGATCCAAATAAATAAGATGGTTTCCCAGGAAGAACTGCTCCACTTTGTCCATCCAAATGGATTAAAGAAAAGCACTTTTATTGCTTTCCTGTGAGACTTCTCTCTTTTTTTTAAATAAATGTGGGTCATTACTTTCTAGGCAACCTCTGAACTCAAGAACTAACAACTTTGTTCTGCAGTTCATTAAGGCGTCCACCAGGTGGCAGAGCAACAGCAACATGTACATGGTACACAAGCCGTGCTTGAGACGGCCACCAGGAATAGAAGGACAAAGTCTTTCCGACTCATACAGTGAAGGCTGCTGGGTTTGTGGGACTGGAAGGAGGATCAAAAACTGCAAAACCCTCCATTAATGCTGTGTGATATTAATGCCTGTATTGCTACAGTAGTCCCAGTAAACCACCAGGGGGGAGTAATTAACATCTCTTGACTGTGCAGTAAAAATCATGACAATTCAGTTAAAATCAGACCCAGCACCAGTCAGCATTTTGCTGAAGTAGGTAAAATGTAAGCAATTGTATTTAGGCCAAAGCCATAGTGAAGTGAAGCAAATTGAAGGATTTCCAATTTGCCCCACACTTTTGGACATCTTGAGACAGTGTTGCAATCTATTGGTATTTTCAAAAAATGTTTTTATTTTATGTACTTTATATACATATTAAACACACTAAAGTTTATAATACTTTCAAACCAAACAGGCTTTATTTGCACATCACCATCGTCATCTTTTTTTGGCATAAAAGGCTCTAGTATTAATTATCCATATGTATTATCTTCTAATGAATCTCATTTATAAAATCTTTATGACATGGGAGTGGTGTGGCAACAGATGGCCGATAGTTACACAAAACGACAAGATTCCACAGCACGACAGCCAATTCTTGCACAGAAACCAGACGTTGCTTATGTCACCCTCCGCCTTGTTTTGAATACATTTCAAGATTGGCAAGAAGACTTAAAACAATAGTTGACATTTTGTTTTATTCACACGTGTAATTTGTCCTGCACTTCAGACAACCTGAAATTGATCCAGCTGTGCCGAGAGAGGAATTTTGTGTCTTGTTTATTTGCACATTCTCTTTATCACCAGCCTGATCCTGCCAAGGATCAAGACTTTAATTTCCCTTCTTTTGGACTGCCAAATCTACTCACGTGTGCAATTACACACTGCACTTTGGCCTATTGGTTGAGGTTGAAGGACAGGCTATTCATTCTTTTGTCATTATACAAAGTTGTATTTTAGTTATAGCTCAGTGTGAAAGTGGAAAAACTTTTAATTTTGCTTGTGTTTTTGGCCTCAGGACTTTGCAACGTTACGCCACATGAAAATTCCTGTTTTATATATGAACTTTGCCTTCCACACTATCTTGTAGCAGTATAAACCAGCAGATTCCATCAGAGCTGGGCACCCTCCTGCACCTGTTAAGGCTTTTGTGCTGCTACCTACAGGAGAACAGTACACTTTCCTATCCTCACTCGTGTTTAACACTGCATATACAGCGGAATGAGTTTCAAAATCAGAAAGTGCCGACTTCGCTGACGTAGAACAGATCTGAAGAAAAGTGTTTTAAATATGTCCAGCATGAATCACACTTCAGGATCTTATTAGTTCATGTTGCCGTTCCATATAATACTTCCAAGTCCTGTGTTTGAATCCAGACTATGATATATTTTTGGGGGAGCTCTCCAGGTGTCTCCAGGTCCCTATAGAACTGGGGTCTGTAAATTGCATTCGTGTGAGCCCCGAAACAGACTGGTGGCCTGTCCAGGTTGCTGTCCTGCCTTGAGCCCTGTGGTTCCTGGTAGGGCTCTGGACTGTTGTGACTTAACAGGAATGAGTGATTTACCGATGCTGGATGGATGATAAGATTTTGCAAACAAGAAGAAATCAGGCTGTTTTCTCGACTTGTCTTTTTGCTCAACAGATCACTGAACTTAGAACCATGAACCTTTCATTTATTTTAGTCTTGCCTCTAAATTTTGCACAAAACACTTCTCTGCACAGTAAAAACCACCTTCACTTAGCACAGCTCGGAGACTTCATTCTTTTATACTTACAAAAGCAGGATCCTTATTCAGACAGGAGTCGATAAACTCTTTGAATGCCTTGCTGAAGTCTCCAGTGAGTGTTGGCGGGTTGTTCTTGGGTATGAGAAACAGCACTCGCATGGGGTGCATGTCCGAGTTGGGGGGCTCTCCCTTAGCCAGCTCAATGGCTGTTATTCCCAAAGACCAGATATCTGCCTGTGGAAGAGACAAGTTAACACCCTGTTACAGCACTGTGCAGTAAAGAGAAGCCTCCAGGACACAAACCAGACTTTGTGGTAATGTGTCACTTACAGAGCATGGGGCATCAAACGCTGTTTTAAATTAAAGATGTCATCTTTTCATAAACTGAATAATCATAATTTAGGAGAGGTGGAGACTATAAGTAACTACAAATTATTATTTTATGGCAGCCTTCCACTGCTTAAAGCACTTGAAACAATTTACATCATTCACTCTGTTCTGTAGTTAAGAACAAACATAACAGGTTAAAAGGTTGGAAATGCCAAATTCTTACTTTTGAATCCCTAACACCTTTAAATAACCACCTCCTCTTTATGACCATACCACAAGTACTGATGAATTAGTGCAGTGGGTCTGTTAGTGCAGATTAGTGCATTCACAAGTTATTCTTGACAATGGCTAGAAAATTAAGAGGAACATTCACATTAAGAGGAACAGACAGATTTTCGAATTTCCACCAAACAATATTCCTAAAACACAGTAGCAAAGCTAGGACAAAAAGCATTGGGACTTCAACAATGGAACTCTAATTCCATATACGGACAATGCACGTTTTCTTAACCCTACTGATCTATTAGACTGACAAACAGCATTCTTGTTCTTGCAAGAAATTAAACTTTGACCGCAGACTGTATCAGTTATCACATAGAACATCGATTAATGTTGACGACTTCTATTAATAGTAATATGAAAAAAGCTGACGAAGATGAGCTTTGATGACAGTGTGAAATACAATCAGGTACTTTGTGGCAAGGCACTTCGGCATGGAGAGGAGATCTTTGCCTCTGTGCTCCCTTCCAGTTGAGTGGCTGTGTGTGGAAACAGGCTCTGACACAGCTGCCTGCTCATCTCTTATTTCAACCTGAAACCCTCATACCATCCGTCTCATTCACACTCTCTGGGTTAACAGAGTAATAATCGGGCTTCAGGGATGCCTCTCTCCGAGACATAGTAACGTCTTCTCTCCAGATCCAGATGGATTCTCCCTCGTTTTATTTTTTTTTTTGGTAGTCACAATTTTTCAAACTCCTTTGCTCCCAATTGTGTGTGGTAAAATCAACAGGATGATCATCTTCTGTTGTAAAACAACCTCTAAATTATGCACACGTTTTACTTTCTGAAAGTGTGCAGCTGCTGTCTGTAGATCAACACAGGCAATGAATCTGCTTCTGTGTTTGAAGATTATCTCAATTAGAACAGAAAGAGCAGAGTTTTTTCAATCTTACAGTATGTGATGTACCAGTAAGTTAAATTATGCTTTCTTTAAAGTAACCAGTTTATGAAGTTCACAGAGTTCCTGAAGCAAGGCAGATGTGTAGGCCAGAACCTCAAGTGCCTTACAGCCTGCAGGTAGGAGATTTAAACACAAACTGCCTTTGACAAGAACTGACTGGGCATCTGCAGGAGTGGGCTGCGATAATGCGAGTCAAATTCCAAGGGCAGATGAGCTCAGCTCTTCACTATGGACCACACCGCTGCTTACTAACTCCCCGAGGATGCAACTTGCTGGTCTTCGCCTCCCCTGAGGTAACATGGCAGCAGTGTGGAGTAGTGGTTAGGGCTCTGGAGGTTAAATCCCACATGGGACAACGCTGGGGCACCCTTATGCAAGGTACTTTACTCGCCTACTTGTGCCTACTTACCTACGTGCTCTAGAGAAATACTCTTTTGTGCAAATGGGTACCCCCAGGTTGTCACTGTAAATGTAAATTCTGTCAATGGATATCAGGGGGCAGAGAAGGTGGGCTGTTCCCTTGAACTGAGAATTCTTTATAATATTAATCCTTTCACTTAAAAAACAGCTGGTCCCCACTTTTGCAGGCAGTTTTCTTGGAAGAGCTGAACAGGTACACACTGTGTTCTGTGCAAGATAATGGAAGATTCCAGGAATCTTTGTGTCAATTCATCATACCACAATAATTAGTACAGCTGCAGACACAGGGACTGTCACTGGATTTCCTGCCTTCTAAGAACAACAACCCAATAGAAAACATTTGCCAGTCTGAGCCAGGAACTGTGAACAAGAAAGCCATAATTAAGCAAAAGTAAAATTCTGACACATGTGAGAACGGAAAAGAATAATGCTTACTTTTGAGTCGTATGCAGACTGTTGTATGACCTCGGGGGCCATCCAGAAAGGCGTCCCCACAAATGTCTCTCTCTTTATCTGGGTGTCCGTCAGCTGGCCAGCCACCCCAAAATCTGCCAGCTTCACATCTCCCTGCTCGGACAGTAACACATTGGCCGCTAGGAGTGCAAACAACAAGACCTCAATTAGCCTCATAATGCACAAGTCATTCACGGCAGAAGTGTTTTTAAACGGCGTCTCTTTCTGCAAACCTTTGATATCTCGGTGAATCTTCTTCTCTGAATGCAGATAGTCAAGGCCTTTAAGAATCTCCTTCAGCATGGTGGCAATCTGGAACTCATCAAAAGGCCCTGCTCGCAACTGTGGGGCAAGGCACAACGTTTACAAGAAGAACTTTCCTGAAAAGAACCAGCCGCAGCACGATCTGCGCTCCTCTTTCGCAAGTGAAAGGACTCTTACGTTTAAAAAACAGAAACTGGGAACAACAGAAGAAAAACAGAAGCAGCAAACTGAAATATTTATCTTGACTAGATCAACACTAGACTCCAGTCATAAAGATAAAGGGCCTGTCACCAGGAGTTGAACTAGTCCCAACTTATCTACTGACTTCTAGTGTCTCTCCCATGCTGACAATCCTTTTGATGATCTTCCTTTTTAATAAGAAGTCCTGTTTTCAGTGAGTCAGCATTAGCAGCTCATCTATTAAATCTTGGTAAGGACCTTTTGAATAAAACCATATATTGTATATATTACTGTTGCTGTAACATATCTTTTTCTTTGTAGGAAGGTGGTGGTGTTTATCAAACAGTAGTCAGAAATATGAATCTTACCAAATCAAGTGCAGATCCTCCCCCTAAGTATTCCATGATGATCCAAAGCTTAGTGGCCTAGATGCAAAAAAGATAAAATGGTTTTAAAAAAAATACAGAATATAGCTGCAGAAACCAGCCATACCACGAAAAACGCACTCTTCATGAAATTACTACACAGGAGCTGGAGTGAAGTGTATTTTCTTGTAAAGATGCATAACTACCCTTAAAGGCAGACTGAACACAATGCTCCTGCCTGAAGAGGAACAGAGAGAGGTTACGAAGGACGGAGATATGAGTATGAAAGGCAGTATCATAGTGCCATATTTGTAGACTGAGCAAGCAGTCAAAAATAACACATGGTATGCTATCGTTTGAAGGAAACAAATGCCAAAGAAGGGATTTAAATTAATAAACAAAAACAAAAATGTCTATGCTTGTTAACAGGACAAAAGGTGGATCTTAAAAATTAAGACTTTCTTTTATGGTAAAAACAAATAATTAATAATGGAATAATGCTGTGAAAGACATGCATTGCAGCAGACCCAGTTAAATCAGAATATGTTGTAAGATTACTATATCTCTTACGTTCTGCTTATTACTACAGAATCTTTGGCTATGAAATCATGATTCAGTCATGATTATGATGACTGAGTTATGAGTTAGGTATGGGAATTCAACAAGGTTTCAGGGGTCTAGTTATCAAAAATAGTTTTCTTGCTTTGTGAGACCTGGTTAGAGTCAAAACCCTATATTTTAACTTTGAGAGATACATCACTAGTTTTTAAAAGACCAGAAAATATCTTCTGTGAGCATACCAGAAAGCATCTCTACAACTGAGGTTTTGTATCTCAGTAGCTACAGTAAAGAGCAGTGGGTTTCTCTATGTACAGGTATGCACTGCAAGACAAGGTCCTAACAAATCTTGATGCATTTTCTGTGGTCAAAACCAAGTTAAATCACAGAAGGAACTACATTTACAGAAGTCTTGATGACAAAACAGAAAGCAAATATCAATGAATCAATAGGCAGTGAACAGAACTTATGGACACTGTACTAATTCACATGTCCTGGGGTCTTGCTCATCATAAAAAGTTTATTTCTTTTTATCTACTGTTCATATAAATACTTATTCACCATGTAAGCATTTTGCAGAACATGGAAATATACACTGTTTTCTGTTTGAGACTGATAATGAAATGCCTAGTACAGGAACAAGATCAAAATGAAACTGACTGTTAAATGTGATCCCATACATTGAAAGAGTAGGTCGTGCTGTATAAATTTCAATGTTCAATATTGTTTCTTTGGGGCAAACTGAACAAAAAAACAAAAAAATTGTAAAAGCAAAGTTATCTGCCTGAATTTTTATTAGACCTTATGGATGGTAAAACAAACAAAAAAAAACTTAGAAAACCAACTGATATGTGTTGTGCAGAGAAAGCAAACTAATGCCCCACATGTTCACTATGCATAAACCAATGTTGCCAACACTGTGCAACACAGGTATCCCCTGATCTCTTGGTGACCGTGACAAACCCATTCAAGAACTAGATTTATAGCCTCAATTGTTCAAAATACACGCTAAAGGTGAAAACCCTAATGACACATGCAAAATGGCAAAAAACTTATGGGATTTTGCTAATTATAAGAGGAATGGTTACAAAGGAGAAGGTGATCTGGCCCCGTTTGTTTATGTTCTAAACAAGGTTTTTATTGTTGTTTGTGCAGCAGGCTCTTGCAGGAGGTTCTCAGCATGCTCCTGTACTGTATTCTACTGCCAGCTGTAACCACTCTGACCACAGAATACTTCCTCCCGAGTCAGCCTCTTCATTGTCTCATCACCTGCTGTAGAGGCTGACACATGACTCTACAGTGACTAGAGTCAAGATGTCTACTGTGACACCACCACGGTACGGTTGAACTGATACACAAGAAAAAAAAAAAGATTAAAACACCCCAGAATGAAGAAAACAGGGAATTAAATCCAATAGTTTTTTTTCTCCCCAAAACGGACACGTACCCTGGTCCCACCTCTGTCATTCCTGAACATCAGCCTAAATTAAATGGATCACCAGACAGCACAGAAACAAAAATGGAGGAGATGAACTGTGACTAAACCACCTGACTGTCACTCCAGGGGTGGTTACAGAAGTCACAAAAATAGGTCAGATACAAAAATAAAGTGCAAAACCAGTGTCCATTTATCATGGTGCTCATGGTAAAAGGCAAATATTTACAAAAGAAAAGGATAACACTGATGACCGAAAAACTAGCCAAACTAGCTTTCCCGTACATTACCTTCTAAAAGTCTTTAAATATAACTGGAACAAGATAAACTCCAGCGGTGTTACCACACACAGACTGAGTTATACTAAATAAATAGACAAAAACTAAAGCAACATGACTGCCAGGTTAAGTACCCTTAGGCTTGTCCCCCAGCTTCTCTTGATGGACAGGTAAGGCTCCATTTAAACTAGAGGCGAGTCAGGGTCTATGACCCGACTCGAAATGGTGGAACAGACAGGACACAAGGACAACACTGTGGATCTCATACAATTATAATAATGACAACTTCCAGTACACCGATAAGAATAATGACGTAAGCAACAACAATAATGAGAATGATAAAGGAACATCCATTCTTCCATTTTTTTTTAACAACTTCCACAAATTTAGGGTCACCGGAGAGCCGAAGCCTATCCTGGCAAGCAGCGGGCACAAGACAGGGTACACCCTGGATAGGACGCAAATCCAGACAGGGCCAACAGACACAAACACATACACATACTCTCACCAGGGCCAATTAACCTACCCGTATGTCTTTGGACTGTGGGAGGAAACCGAAGCACCTGGAGGAAACATACGTGAACATGGGAAGAACATACCAACTCCACAGAGATAGCATCAAAGGTCCAGAATTGAACCCAGGATCCCCAGCGCTGAGAGGCAGCAAAACTAACCACCGCACTACTGCTTCGCCCTAATAAAATAACATGCCCCTTCTTTTCAGATGTTCCAGAATGATGATGATGATGATGATGATGATGATGATGATGATATGTGAAAGTGAAGAGAAACAAGAGGTCATACAACAAGAGCGTGAAGAAGCCGTTTTGTCACTTCTACACACAGTACTGCCCCCGACGGATGAGCTTGATGACTGAATCATGGGTACTGCCTTGTATGGTAGGGACACTGCAGACTGTGGAGATAAGAATCCACTGGGTTTCACAGGGGCATTAACCGTGAGATCTTAAGTGAGACCTGTGTAAATCTTTGAAAATATGATGTCTGTATTTAACGCACAGTGCTTTCAAGTGTTCACCCTCACTGTTCCTCCATCACCATGTTTCTAAGAACCACCAAATCAGCTCATTTTGAAGTGGTAAAAAAAAAACAGGACACTAACAGGACATATACACAATTACAGAAGCCTGTAGGTATAAAATGATATTCAGAACTTCCATTTCTTCCATCTAAAAGAAGCAGCAGCCTTTTCATTCATCTCCTTTCATTCTCCTCCCCCATCTCCTGGACTTTACTTTCTGATTTCCAGTATGTACAAGACGTTCCAAGCTGAGTGCTATTTTGGAACATGTTACCTGGATTACATCATACTGACTATAAAAAGATATCGCGGTTGATAAGGCAGATGATAGTGACAGGGTAAGTTTCATTTTAAAGCCCTAGGCCTACAGGGAAGGAAATGACTGGCACGTAGGACTACAGCACAATATCAAAAAGCCACTTGTAGAGCGGATTACTGTACTGTAATGGAAGAAAACATCTCTGATGTTCACACAGCTGCCTCTCCAATTAATCCTCATTTCATTTGTCAAGTTCTGTCATGGGATTATTAAAGATAAAGCTATACTGTAGCTCTGGCACTGTTCAGTACTCTATTCATTTTCAAGGTGGATTATTTAAAACATAACACAATGAAATTTATTCAAAATTGGTAGTTAAAACAAAAGAAACAACATATTACAGGCTACAAATGAGAGGAATCCATTTGCCCCACCTAGAAGAGTAATAATTAACAAACTGTTACACTACTTTTCTCCTGACAGCTTTTTGCTAAACTCAGCTCTATTATTGCTAGCAGAACAGGTTTAACTATTTCCTTGAACTTCCTAGTCTGAAAGATATCAACAATACCAATAATGTAATTATATGGACCCTTATTTGCATGCAATGCCCAAAATAGCCTCACATTCTACGTTGTTCCAGGATCATTCGTTTGTGAACAAAAAGTGGGAACGTGTTTTTATTCTCTAACCGAATCAGGTGGTGTACAGTCACTGGTAAACTTCATAACATTATTTTGAAAATGATTAACTTTTGTTTTGGTTCTCAAAAAAGACATGAAATGTATACTGAAGAAAATGAAACTTATTCAAATGATTTTACTTCTGTTTAGTTAAACAGTTATTGGGAAAGCAAAGTTAATTAAACACTTGTGTTCCTAGGTATTTACATGCTAAATTAACCTGTCAACAAATACAGAAAAAAAAGGTTTGCCTGCACAATTCTTCTGTATTTAAACTACCTTTAAAATGCTTAGAACTCGTTTATCTGAAAGGTGATTTTATGCTGTTATAAATAACCAAATATCTATCAAAATCAAAATGATCCCATGCATACTAGGTTAACATGTTATGTTAATATAATTGCTTTTTAATAATGCTTTTAGTATTTATAACCTGCTTCCCCATTTCCTCTTATGTGTTTATTCAGCATATTGTATTCCTGAAATACTTGAACACAGCATGCCTGAGACTCACTGTGAGGTCTTTTCCTTACAAAACCCAGTGTATCTGCAAGAACAAATGCTCCAGAACAGGATAATTTAAAGAGCCTGGCTTTGTGGACGGACAAACACATGCATGGATGTCCGGTTCATTACAGGACAATCTACAGGAACATGCCGGTTAGTCCCCTTTTATTCGGAATAGTTTTGATCCCGTGTGGCTGAACAAAGCTGTGGTTCATTTGACATAAAACAGGCCCAGTCATGTCTTTTCGGATTAGGAAACAAGTTCCCAGGATTCTCCCATTGCTTTTATTTGCAACAC